CTTAATGATTCTGTGATTCTATGATTCAACTTTCATACCAGCTCTGAACCACACCAGCTGCATATCATTTGAAATACAGAGATAGCAGCATTCAGTTCCCCATAGGTTAATCCCCCTGATGTAAAACTCCAAGCTCAGATATATCTATTTCTATTGCAGCTCATGCAGATGTTTAAATCACAAAGGATCCAGCACGTGTGCCCCTGCAAATTCTAATGGAGTCCTAATAGATCTGGGTGCATATCCTCATGGCACAGCTATAACCAGCAATGGAAGCAGCAACGATGTACACAGCACTGATTTGTTACATGAGCATGGCCTGTAGAATAGACTATTATAGAAATGAACCCAAGCACTTGGAATTAGAGGCATAATATTCGACATCTCACAAGGAAGAGTGGGTCAGTGGAGGCTATAAAAGCAAGTGTAATATAGACTCAGTTTAGCAACAGTGATTAGATTGAAGCTCCTCCAATGCAGAAACTCTTCATCTTTTAACTTTCTAATAATTAAATCATTTCAAGCAGACTAATTGCTCAAAACATCTGGTTTCACTCCCTCTTTTTACTGCTACTAGTTGCTTTTCATTAGAAGCAGCTACCCATAAATCTGGAGGCTGGCAGTGCCCCTGGGGGAAGGCTCCCATAACTCTGACACAACATAAAACTAATGCACATGGAAATAAAAATCAACTTTGAACTTCAACAGTGTTAAGAATCTACAAGAAAAGGAGACCAGGATGGTGATACACTCTGTGTACCCTGCACTGCATCACGTAGAGGTTGGCCAGGGCCAGTGGCTTTCTTCCAGGGTGTATGAGCACATTCTGCAAAGCTGAGGTTTCTCCATAAGTATGCTCAAATTACATCGACTTTGTTACATCTTAGAAGTTCTTAAGTACCTACTAAATCCTAAGGCCCATAAATACTTTACAGCACTGGGCCTTTCATAACTTGCATGAGTTATGGCTATGATTCACTATGGGATCAGAGCAGCCACATCAGGGTATAATAAAACAAGACATTTCTTCATGGTTTATTTTTAAATGGAGAAAACTAATAGGAAACATAATTTATGTTTTTATAAATTATCATTATTTTTCTAGGTTTTCTAGCACAAATTTGTAAATAAGATTTTCTGGGAAAAATGTGATTGAGCTGGTCAAAAGTGACAGCAGATGTTCTTCTCACCTTGGTCATACAATAAACAACATGTAAAACTCAGGAGAATTCACTTACAGCTTTTGGGAAAATAAACCTTTTGAGAAAAGAATCAGGAAAAAAGAAAAAAAGACCATGTAAGAGAGTTGTATTTGAAATAGCATTTTTCCACTCGCACAACTGCAATCTTAGGTATTCCGGTATCAGAGGCAAAGTGCTGGAAATAAAAGAATTGTCAAAGGTGTGTTGCTAAAGCTGCACAACATGACAGAACACCATTGCTGAGATTCGTATCCTTGTGTCTCTTCTACATGCAGGTTTTGACCGACTTTGGTTTTCATGACAATGGAATTTTTCCTCCCCAGGATGGAAAGTAAGAACCTCTTCCTAAGCCTATTGCTCTGCTACAGTTTGCTCAGAGCTGCCAATGCTTATATGGTAATTGAAGAGAAGATAGAATGCAACGTGTCAAGGAGCAACAAAATGAATCTCCAAGACCTCCCACCCATCTCGATAGTAGGTTAGTAAAACCTGCCATTCGGTGCCAAATTAACAAAGATTTGCAGAAAATACAATTGTCAATTAATATGGATTATTCTGATAGCTTACTGCAACATTGCAATTTCATACAAATGCCTTAGTAGTATGCAGAACTGCAGTGGCAATGCAGCCACAGCATCCAAGAACGGCAATGTGGCAAACCACAGTTTAGAGTGGGGGGAAAAAAAAAAAAAAGATCAGACAACTTATTTTAGTTTCAGATTTCACTTCAGGTCCTGTCATACTGTAAGTCTTTTTATGCTGAAGAGAAGTGTTTTTCTGTTAATACGGGCATTAATCTTCCTTTGAAAGTCTAGTGCAAATAGAAAAAGTGAACATAACTTTTATTTTTTTAGGATCTGCTCTTGTGGCAGAGAACTCAGTTCTCTAAGGTATTCATACAACCTCAATTTACCTGTGTGCCAAGTGATCTTTAACCAGGGGAAGAAAAGAGCACTGCAAGGGACAGCCAGAGGTCATCCATTTATCCAAGACAGAACCAGCTATGTCCCCACCGTTACTGGCAGGTGACCATCTGTCCTGTTAGGGAAGAACCTTGTCAGGGCAATGCTTAACTCTTTTCTTCACAAAATATTTCCTAGTATCTGCCCTAACTCTTTCAATGTAATTTAAGCCAATTTAAGCTTTTTTTCTTTCAAGAAACTTGCAGCTATATGGGGATAGTTAGCTGCAGTATGTCATTCATAACTGTGTCAAAATTTTAATAATTCTAAAAAAAAAGCTTTTCTTGTTTAGCTCCTTTCTACAGGCTTTTAGGACTTTTGCTTAGAATAGAATGGTTTGGGCTGGAAGGGATCTTTCAAGGTCATCTAGTCCAACCCCCCTGCCGTGGGCAGGGACATCTTCAACTAGAGCAGGTTGCTCAGAGCCCCGTCCAATCTGACCTTGAATGTTTCCAGGGATGGGGCATCTACCACCTCTCTGGGCAACCTGCGCCAGGGTTTCACCACCCTCATCGTAAAAAATTTCTTCCTTATATCTAGTCTGAATCTCCCCTCTTTTAGTTTAAAACCATTCCCCCTTGTCCACAGGCCCTGCTAAAAAGTTTGTCTCCATCTTTCTTATAAACCCCCTTTAAGTACTGAAAGGCCGCAATAAGGTCTCCCCGGAGCCTTCTCCTCTCCAGGCTGAACAACCCCAACTCTCTCAGCCTTTCTTCATAGCAGAGGCGTTCCATCCCCCTGATCATTTTCGTGGCCTCCTCTGGACCCGCTCCAACAGGTCCATGTCTGCCCCGTGCTGAGGACCCCCGAGCTGGACGCAGCACTGCAGAGGGGGTCTCACCAGAGCAGAGCAGAGGGGCAGAATCACCTCCCTTGACCTGCTGGCCACGCTGCTGGTGAAGCAGCCCAGGGTACGGTTGGCCTTCTGGGCTGTGAGTGCACATTGCCGGCTCATGTCCAGTTTTTCGTCCACCAGTACCCCCAAGTCCTTCTCAGCAGGTCTGGTTTGCTTAAAGCAGGTTGGTTTCTTACCTTGTTTCCTGTATTTTCACTGCATTCTTGCTCAGGACAACATTTCTTTAAGGAGAAACAGTTGCCCCATACATGCATTTCCAATGAAATCTGAACCTCTGAATCCTGAGTTAACTCAAGGTTGTTTAACTGCAAGTTTATTAAAGCTTGTGCTGTTCTGCAGCCTCCCAAGCCATATAATTGCATGGCTTTTGTGATCCTAAGTACCTTCAGCCTCACACTTCCAATAATTTTTTTATTCCAATTAAAATCACAGATATAAAATACATTCCCTTCAGCTGATTTCTGTATCTTCTCGCAAAAACGTGCCCATGCCTTAAACATGGCAGATAGGCTATGTCATGCCATATTGCTTTGCCAGCAGACATCCAAGATAGCAAAAATCCCCTAACGCTGTCAGTCCTTTTGCTTTGGATGGTTCTGCAATGCCTCACAAAAACCCTTCCTCCCTCTCTGCCCCATTTGGTTGTCTGCAAGAGACACCTCCTCCGGCAGGAGCAGAGCATCCATGTATCCTCACCACTCCGTGGTGAAGCCTGGCTGCGCTGCTTTCCCATTTTATAGTCAACAGAGAGATGAAGCAATCAGCTGAGGTAAGAAAAGAAATCCACAGCAGATGAAGGGGCTGAATCTAAGCAAACAGCATAACCTCCAGCTCACCTTTACACTCGTTCTTCTCCTACACGCATACAAACAGAATGAACATTTGAGACTGAAAATGCAACAATTCAAAAGAGCAGATCTTGGCATAACACTCACCTCTTCCATAGTCCGCTTGTCTTGGCTGACTATTCCAAAAAGGAAAGTACAGAGCAAACCCCGCTGTAACACCATTGGCCGGGGCTGCACTCACTTTCCCGGGGCACGAGGCATTTCCAGAGGTATCCCAAGGCCTTTCTGCAGCCCACTTGTTCAAAGGCGAGAGGCCAGTCTGATCCTCCACTACCCCACACCTAAAGAAAATTGAAAAAATCCAAAGTGAGTAATAAAACTGAAATAAATCATTCCTCCTTTTCTCATTCCATAGAATCTGGCCTAAGTTTTGAAATAGTTTATTTTGGAGCTGAAATGGCACATGCTCAAACCTTTCTGGGTTTTATTTCAGACAACCAGTAGCCACATTACCTCTATTACTTATCAGCTAAAATAATTGAATTATAACCTGATAAAATAAATATAAATTAATCGAAAGCATGCATTAATGCATGGCATGTGAAGAGCGTTTGAAAGTCCATAGCCATGACCTTTGAAATGGGTGGAGGAAGAAGGTGCAGGAGAAAGGACACGCACTGACGTTGTTCTGGGTTTCAGGATACCAGACCAAGGGACCTTCTAGCCCTGCTGATACCTCGCGCCAAGAGCAGGAGGATGACAGCAGATCTCATCATTTTCACTGAAGTGAGCTGGGAATAACGTCACCTGCCTCACTCCAGCGTATTGTGAGACGTAACTGGAGGCCCATCCTTTTCCCCTGGTTTTTGCCTGACCCCGTGCATTACGCAGCAGCTGGATGAAGAAATGGAGCCGTGCCCTTCACGGCGCTGGGTGCTGAAATGACGGGGAAGAGTTGCGAGAGGGGGAGGGACTGCCTTGGAGACAGTCCTACAGAGGATGGAAACAGGTCGAAATGGGAGAAACTAATGCAAACAGGGGAAAGTAGCTGGAAAAACCAGCCAGACAGAAGCTGGAAGGGCGGGCGCAGAGGCGGCTCCTCCAGCGCTGCCACTGCTCCTCTGCCTGCATCCCCAGCAAAACCCCAGCAACGCTCGGGGGCGAGGATGAAGCCGCACATGGTAATATTTATTATAACAACAGTGTCAGGGCTAGAAGCTGAGAGGCTGGTCTTTCCCATCTCCACCACAGAAACAATTAATTTAGAGCAAATATTAAGAGAGTGTTTTAATAACCACAGCCTCCTCTCCCCTCCTGATACTGTCAATTTCTTTACGATTTATGAGTTATAATTTGTCATGCTGATATGTATAATCTGTTTTCGTATAAGCTAACAGAAAAATTTCTTGTCAGCTTGATTTAAACATTTTGGATAGAGCTTCCTATCTCAGTGGCATTTTCTTATACCAAGTCCTGTTCCTTCCTGTTGGCTACACAAAACAGAGATGAAGGCGTTCATGTTACAGCTCAGTTTTTAAATGTTGCTGTAGCCATACTTGAGTAATAAAACTCATTTGCAATCAGCTGTTTACACACCTGTCAATCAATCACAGTGCTCATGGTATCGAAAGATGGTATGTCTGGCTCAAATTCAATAAAACCTGAGGCTGGCGTTGAATCACATCTTAGAAGGTAAGCAGAGGATTTGCTAGCATCAACTAGTAAAACATGCAATCATCTAGCTAATACATGCTTTTTATAGCACTTCAAATCACAGTTGTATCAACAGGGGTTAGAGGTGTGTGTTATCAATATTTTCACAAGCCTGTATTACATTTTCCCCTATTGTCACAGACGAGATTTGTAAAGAGCTGGTCAGTTGGGCAGCTGTTGAAAACATGGTAGGTAGAGCATGAGGAATACGAGACTAGAGGCCAGTTGAGAAAAGCAGGTGTTTTACCCAACCCAGAGGAACTATAGAAGAGACAATTACAGCACTCATCTGTCAAAAAAAGCATCTCTACATTTCCATCTCATCTCTCTACTGGGCATCATTTTCTTCTTTACCAAATTTCTTGGAATAATTAAAGCACATTTACATCATACCAACGTTTAAACCTCTGTTTAATGACATCATATACCCTTTAACTGAATGTTATCAAAACAATTTTATAGGCAAAGCAATCCAGAAAATCCTGTACAATTGTAAAGAAAGTTAAATTGTATAGAAAGTTAAATTAACGTGGAATTAAATGGCTTACAAGCATCTTGGTTACTATCAGAAAGTTTCAAAGGGCAGCATAACAAAGCCAACATAATCTGCCAGCTGGAAGCAGATCTAAACCACTAATCCTAGTTAGTGCAATGCCTTTTTTAAGGCATGCTCATATTAAGTGACAATATCTTTACATGCTTGAAGTATAGTTTTTCCTCCCACTGTTTCTTAGAGATGTATAACCCTAACTATAACGATGCAAGGATAATAAATGAAACCCCCCAAAACAGTCCAAAATATGTATCCTTCATTCTGTAATTCTGTAAATCCTGGCAATTATTAAATATTCAAAAAGATGTGGATAGCAAATACTGGAATAGGCAAGGAGCCACAATTCATCGGTGGGCATATGTAAATTTTTTATCCCAATCACTCACTACATACAGGTAGTGCTTATTACAAACCTCACACACAAAGAATAAGGTGTCAAAAATACCATAACAGATTAGTGAGCTGGGAAGTGTCTCACACTTTAACAGTTTTGCTGTGTTAGATGCCAAGATGAGTCTTAGTCATGGAGTTTATATACAGTAATAAATAGCATTAGAGCTGATATGATAACAACAACAACTGCAGTAAATGCTATTAGCCCTCAAAGGATAACATGAGGAAGTTCACAAATACTAGTGATTTGATCTAAAGAAAAAAAAGTTACATCACACATAGTCTGAACACCCCCCCCCTAAATTTACTAAATCCAAGATTCAACTCTACAAATATTCACAAACCTTTCAAAGCTACAGGCACGTTAATGAAACCTTTGCAAGTAACGTTTTGTAAAACAAGATGGTAGGTGAAAAAGGAACAAAGAACTGAAGAATGAAATGTGGCGTCATACAGATGAAGAGTTTACGCCAAATCTGCAAAGAGTTTTTTGCTTGTGAAAACCAGCATACGCTTGTTAATTCCCGCCAAAATTATGCAGGTAACACCGCTTTTTAAAAGAAAAAAGTATGGAATTCTAAAGGTTTTTCCTATTTTTGTTCATGTGACTAATGTGCATAAGTACCCCCATCTTTTACACAGAGACCTTTCATTTCATTTCTCTGAAATTATTTTCCTTGTTCGCATCTGACCAAACAATGTGTAAAAAAGCCTTCCTAAAATACAAACATCAGCGCTCTTCTGCTTCACACGAGCAACAGTGACGGCACGAGTTCAACTCACGCTACATGTAAAAAAAGTGAGGACGGCTCCTAGAGATGAACATCCTCACTGCAAAACATGCAGCGATGAGGTGGCAATGCAGGTTATCTGCCTTCTCTCGCACAAAAATAGTATTAAGCATCTCAATTAAATAACATGTGCTGTAAAATTGATTTAATATTATGTTGTGCTATTCTCTTTGAAGATTTAACCAGAAGATCCCAGAAAGTCAGCATTTAGAGGACAAGAAATCTTCCAAGGTGGGTGCCTGTTCAGAAAACTTTGTTGAATTAGAACAGTTTTTTACTTCTGTAGTTTTCCTCAGTGCATTCATTTGCAAGGCTTTTACAGCCATTCCCCGATTTAAATAATTTACGTACAGTTTGAAGCTCTAAATACTGTAAAAACAGATGCAAAACATTAACGGTGGAAAGAAAACTATGTGATCTTACATTAGTTAGAGGCTATTGTTTGGGTTTGGGGGGGTCTTGTTGGTTTTGATTTTGCTTTTGTTTTTCACAGTCATCTCTTACGCAAAAGGTACTTTAACCTTGAGCTGGTTTAAGTATTTGTAAAATTATTTAGGCATCTGCCATAAAGAGGTTTCATTCCCAGTCACACCGTACAGGTTAACTGTACAGGCTCTGCAGCCCAGGGGCACAAACTCACTATCTGCTGATTTTTAACTGCAGGTGACAAAAAATTAAAAGAGGCATACAAAGAAGTTGGTATTTGGTTGAAAATGTTAATGAGTACTTTTATCAGATCAGTAGATTCAGACTGATAGATTTCCTTAATGTGTTACGCTAGGTCTCGAATGTGAAGTATTACATGGGCTGGACTCCTATATTTTAAAGATTGTCTAGAAGCGTAGAAAATAGCATTTTTAATATGTCATGATAGCCATTTATAGCCAAACCAGTCATTGCTGCAAGCAGAAACATTTAGAGCTCCTTCTTTTCCTTTCTAATTGATGTCTTGTGTTGTTAACTTTCCTTAAAGGACTTCCTAAATTCGCAGGATGATCCAGGTTGAAAGGGGCCTCAGGACATCATTTAGTTCCACCTTCAGCTCAAAGCAGGACATTCTTACGATCAAACTTTATCAAAGTATTTTGGCTTAAAAGCTCCTAAGGCACTTAGAGACCACAGAACATTTTACCTTAAAATTGAAACTCCTCAGAAACTACCAAGTTAAAAAAGTGCATAGGGTGCCTGTAGCTGGAGGGCTCCAGAGATCTTTCCCAGGTCCCAGGCACATGCTGATCAACCCAAAGCTTTCCACCTTTCCAAATCACAGTCAGAGAAGCAGCACTCCTTGGGTAGGCTGAGAGATCTTTTTCAGCTCACTTACCTGTGTCTGCAGTTAAGGATTCCCATGTACAAATCTGATGCACAAAGGATTACTGAGCTCCAAAGGCAGCTTGACGAACACACCATGCGAGGTAGAGCATTGCCAAGTCACCTCCCTCTCTCTCAGCCTCACAGCTCAGGAAACAAAGTGGGTACCAGCCCCACAGATTGCCAGGGAGGTTTCACTCCTTCATTTGAAAAGTTTGGGGATCCAAGAGTAATTCCTTACTTTGTTTTACTGATAACCTTGTTGTCTGCAGATTCTTGCATCCCTTTCTTTGCTGCTGCCACATTCTTCCCTACAGAGCATTTTCCAATGCTCTATCCAGTCATGTTTCTAATTGCTCAAAATGTGGGGCTCATGAGGTTTACCATTTTGCTCGGTAAGTTGGTCTCCAGTCGACATTTCCCATGATCCAGTCCCACCACATCTCTATATTGCTACTAATATAGGTCTCACTGCTAGCAACCTCCGACTCATCTCAAGCCAGAAGCTCCCATGGTTCACTTTCTTTGCACCTATGCTTTATTCTGACCCATAGTCATTTTATGTTTATATGAATTTTCATGTTTTTTCTTCTAGAAAAAAGCTGAACTGAAGATATCTCCAAAACCAAGGCCCATACCAGCTGCTGACTGTGTGCCAAACTTCAAAACCTGCAAACCACACTTGAATTCATGTTGTAACTACTGTGCTGTGTGCAAATGTCACATTTTTCAGACCATCTGCCGATGTCTAATTTTAAACCCAAAGTGCTAAGCCAAACTGGGAACACAATAAGGCTTCTGTCTTTCAGTAGCTTCTCAAATGTATATTTCAAACTGCCCCATGTATACAGCAACCAAAGTAGAGAGCTTTGAAGCTGGCAGCTTGGATTTGCCCCTCTTAAAAAAAATTGTCCATTAAATTTCATGGGGTGAATGCTATCATGAACAGGATGGTTTTTTCAGGGAATTTAGGTGGCAATCTCCATGTACTGCATGCAAGCAGTGACTGCAGGAAAAAAAAAAAATTATCGAATGCTGTATCAACCCTTAAAAGCTCAGAAAGAGCTCTGAAGGTATGGATGAAGCTCAAGGTAGCAGCAAATGGGTTTCTAGAAGACGTCTTTCTCTTGTTCTTAAGGGTCTTTGCCTTAATCTTGAGTTATCCAAGATGGCACAGGAGGAAACCCCTTCTTGGTTAAACTAACCGGAGAGATGTGGTAGGTCACAGGAGAGCAAGGAGGGAGCAGACCCAGAAGCTGTCCCCAACATTGACGATTCTTCATCTGCCAGACTCGAGCTCTTGCTTTTTACCTCCTCTGTTCTGTATCTACAATGTTGCTCTCCCCCGCTCCTGTACCCTTTTTTCTTCTATGGGCTTTTCTTGACTTTAGTATTTTCCCTTCATCCCACTGCTATCGCCAGTGACCACAGGAGCCATGTGCACTCCCAGGGCTAAAACCACATCTTCCATGTTCACTCCACCTGCCCGCTAGATGACTGCACCGGTGTCCCTACCAACGCTCTCTAGCTTTCACAATCAGATTTTTCTAACAATGAATTTCTAATCCCAATCCTGACTTTTCTGATGCTCTGTGCAGGTCTAATTGAAAGGAAACTTCTTTACTGATTTATTTCTAGGCACGGCTGAGGGCTACAAAAATCTTCCAGGCAGGCAAAGATGATACAGGTGATACTCTAAAGGGGCTCAAGCCATATGAACTTCTTTCTCTTCTAATAATCAATCCAAAGCCCAGAGCTCAAAACATAGGCCAGATGCTGACAGAAATGTTTGTTCATCTTAGAGGTATATCTAGATGACAGAGATTAATCTAAGAAAGAGCCCAAATGATGACAGGATGTCATTGTGTTCCTTATCTTTTATAAAATACATCAGCTGCCATATATGATGCAAGCTTGAATTCTTTTAAATGTACATAAGTATATCTTTTAATCAGATATCCTGGCTCTGGAATCTGTAAGCCATTCAGTTATGATAAAAAGAGCATGAGAAGGAAGAATAATACATTACAACGGGCTTAGGAAACAGAATTTGGCCCCTTCTTTTACTAGGTAAAGATGTAGATTACCGTCAAGTTGCTTCAAAATTCTCATAACTATAAGAAATTGTCCTTGGTTGATACTAAAATCATATAAATAATCACACAACAACTTCTCATGTGGAAACAATATCATTTTCTTACCAGACTGTCCAGCTGGTCAGAAAAATTTATATTTTACGAGGGTGGAGGGGAGCAGGAGGAGAGGAAAGGGAAGGAAGAAGAGCCAGAAATCAGACAGCTGTTCTCTAGACAGCAGCTCCCACTCCAGCTTTGCAGAATCACAGAATGGCTGCGGTTGGCAGGGACCTCTGGAAGTCATCTAGTCCAACCCTCTGCTCAAGTAGGGCCACCTAGAGCTGGTTGCCCAGGACCATGTCGAGACAGCTTTTGAATATCTCCAAGAAGGGAGACTCCACAACCTCCCTGGGCAACCTGTGCCAGTGTTCAGTCAGCCTTGCCATATTAAAAAAAATAAATGCTTCCTGATGTTTGACTCTCTCCAGTATGTCCATGCCTCTTGTACTGGGGAGCGCCAAACTGGACACAGTACTCCAGGTGTGGCCTTACCAGTGCGGAGCAGAGGGGAAGGATAACCTCCTCGACCTGCTGGCAACAGTCCTTCTAACGCAGCCCAGGACACCATTTGCCTCCTTTGCTGCAAGAGCACATTGCTGGCTCATGTTCAACTTGGTCTTCACCAGGACCCCCAGGTCCCTTTCTGCAAAGCTGCGATCCAGCTGGGCAGGCCCCAGCATACATTCATGCATGGGGTTGTTCCTCTCCATGTGCAGGACTTTGCACTTGTCCGTGTTGAACTGCATGAGCTTCCGATCAGACCGTTTCTCCAGACTGTCAAGGACCCTTTGGATGGCAGCACGACCCTCTGGCGTATCAGCCACGCCCTCCAGTTTTGTGTCACATGCAGACCTCCACGACGCCCCATCATCCAGATCATTAATGAAAATGTAAGCCACAGCTTGCGACTGTCAGCTAAGGAAATAGAAAATGCCGAGACCCACAACGAGGAGCTAGAGACATGGAAGCTGAACCAGGAAAGTACAGGATGGTGCACGCGTGCAATAAAGGAAGAGGAAAGATCCTTTCATATGCGAATGAGGGGATTTGTTTTTCAACACATATGCATGTACTTTTTAATATAGCATTTACATGTAGTGCATTTGGACAAATTTGATTTATTAATAAGCCTTTTTTGTAACTGGAATTGATTAGAAAGACGTTATGCTTTCTCTGCCATTCATCTATCACATCAAAGAATATATATAATCAAGTACTCCAAAATTGTTATTAGCCTTAGTGACTTTACTTGTCTGAGTAAAGATCACATTGCATGAGGTATTGATAGGATACAGAAATCAGTAAAACATGTACACCTAATATTTGCTTCCTGTATTTAGTTTGAACAGATATTTATATCGAGTTGTTTGTAAGTGTAAGAGTTCTTTAAGAGACCTATCTGAAATGTTATCAGCACACAGATAAAACATATGCATGACAAAGATGGAGTGTTTAAGTGTTTAATTTTTAGTTGCCACATACCAAAATGTCTCCACTGAAAACTTATCAGAATTCAGGCTTAGAGACAGACCCAGTAATGCTCCATGACAGAGTCATTTTTCTCCTAGAGACTAATGGATTTTTACCCTAATTACAGCTTAGTAGGATTAAACACAAATAAATCACTATTAGCTTTTCTGAATATTACCTGTCTTGTGTGAATTTAAAACAGATACTGTATTTTCCCACCCAAAGCCCTGACTTGATTGCTTATTGTCACACTCAAAGACCATAAAATCCAAGTTTATCCCGATGGATAAAACAAATAGTAGAATTAACATCTTAATGACTATACCAAACTAGCTCTAAACTCATAGTTTTCCAAGCTAATTACTGAAACTGTCTGGGAAACCCCAGAAGGAAAACAAACAACTCCTCATGTCAGTCTTTAGGGTCTTCTCACAGAAAGAAAGATTTGACGGAAGGTAGACCTTTTGCCAAGTTCTATAGATGAGTAAACAGTATCTGTGATGCTGCTTTGGCTGAAGGTGATGAAAGATTCAATAAAGTCTCTTTGAGATGCAGAGATAGCGCTAACCTCATGATGAAATGGATTATAGGAGAACCAGATGGAGATTTGTATAACCAAACTGAGGAGCCAAGGAAGAACTTGTACATGCCGTGCCCAAAGCTGATGCTGTGGGAGCTCTATTTTACAGTGCAAAAATTACATCATCTTAGTCCTATGGCAAACGTGCTTCTTGGACATGCTATTTGTATGATACTGCAGTCTTGAGGTCACTCACTGTACGGGTGTAGACATCAAATGACATCCAGGGCCAATGCAAAAATGCATTAAATTGTAACATTTTTCATCAAAGCATTTCAAGTTGAATTAGACCATTCTATGGCCAGAAGTGACTCTATAAACACACTAAATAGACCAATTCACATCCACCATCCTCAGAGGCATGACTGAGTTGCAGAATCAGGGCTGAAAAAGAAAATCATTAAAAACAGACTCCCCTAACAAACACATGAGCACTTCAGATTTTTTTTCTGTCTACTTCTGAGCTCTGAACTGTGCCCTTCTGGACAGCCTTCTCCACACAGATATCTCCAACACACAGAAGAAAACGCATGGGATGGCCTGCTATGGTTACTGCATTGCAAAATCCCAATTGCCACCGTAATACCTGTAAAAGATTGGTCACAGACACTTAATTTCCAAAACTGAAAGTGCACAGCAAATAGCTACTCATTTCCAAACAAACCTTATCTTAGATTTTTGTAGTATATTTAATAGTTGACAAGAAATAATTCCTTCTTGTGTCACATGCAAACCACGTCAACCACTGCATGCTTTTCTAACTGTGGGGATCAGAAAAAGTCTCATGTCACTTTTGATGGGCACCCCACCAAAGGCAATGAGTGAAGTCCCCCAGTCTGCTAAAGGCTGTGGTTAGCCAGTCACAACATAGTCATAATAATGCAACTGGGTGCATCACAGGTGGGCCCACACATTGGCCCTCCGTGAGCGGTTCTTTCATCTCTCTCTGTACAATCTCCAGTATGAGCTGTTTCAGCTTTCATTTTGCCAGTATCCAGGCTCCATTAGGTATTTTTCAATGGCATCATCACCTCCTGTCAACACGGGTATAGCACAAAGCATGGGAACACACACAATAGACCTTCAATGCATCTCCTCACTCTTAGTAGCTCCTTAAGCCTGTAAAATGGAAGCAAAATCTTGTGGCTCCTCACCCAGGTTAGATACACAGCCAGCTACAGGACCTGTTGTAATAGCCCAGTACTTATAACATGCTTAATGCCATTCTTGACCACAACAAAAAAGACAACACCTGCTCCAGAAAGCTCCAGATTAGAGATCCTGAGATGTTCTGCTGATAGCTTATCTAACACGCTTTAACAACGCTCCTGTTTTCTTCAGATCCAACAATATATTGAGGATCCTGAAGTCAGCAGGAGCTTGCAGTTCTGTTGTTGATTAGCTATTTCCAGTACATTGAACAACAGTGAGAGAAGTTGTATACCTAGAGAGGATTTGGTGGAATTTTCATCCCCTTCCAGCAAATTACCCTGATCTGGGGGCCAAGACACCCAAATGTCAGTCTGGCTTGTCAGCCTAGTTTAGGTTTTTCTGGTCCTCCAGAATCAACAAAGGTATTTTCAGCTTCTTGCACAGTTATA